AGTTTCTGGGATAATCGGGCTACCAATTTGTCCCTTCTCCTAGCATTCTGCATTATCCTTGTGGTTGTCCTTTATTGGTGCCTCCCCATCGGCAAGTTGGATGTCCAGACTTGGCCATTCCGGTCCATTCACACTAGGTTCCATGCAAGAGCGTTAGAGCAGATGCCTCGCTTGGCGACCAGTTAACATTGTCATTCGATCCTCCATCCCCTTTGCTTGATCCGCTAACTGCTGGTGATCCGATTTTGATGTGCCCCCCTGGGGCCCTTGTTGAGTAGTTTGAGGTATCCAGCGCTTGTGGTTACCAGTTCTTGGTTCTGCAGCGATGTGCTGCACCTGTTCTTGGGGTCTGCCTGGGTTGTGGTGGCAGACAGCTTCCTTGTGGCCAAGTTTACGACAATATGAACAATAGTCTAGGAGGTTTTTATACTCAATACATTGCCAAAAACCCTCTTGCCCATTACCGATCCAAACTTTGTTGGGGAGTTCCTGCTAAAGTTAACTTTGACGCAAACTCTTGCAACTCCTAGCCGAGATAGTGATGCTGTGGAAACATCAATCTTCAGGGTCTCCCCAACTAGACAGGCTATGGAGCAGAGCAGCCCTTTTCTAAAGAAGTGCATTGGCAAGTGAGGGAGCGAAATCCAGATTGGGATTATTGGCGATTCCGTTTCTACGGAGCAGTAGGGAGTCCACTTGAAAACACGCATTATGAATCCCTGGAATGTCCATGTTCCACGCAGCCAACAGCGGAGATAGTCCTCTTTGTAGGTGAATCGCAATAATATGTGGCGAGAATCAAGCAGGCCAAAGAAGTGATCGCCATTGAATCCTACAACCTTGAAATCTTTTAGCAGCGACTCCATACTTGGTCTTCCCTTGGAGAATTTTCCTATTAGGGCATGTCAGAAGGGGCTAGGCAAAGCTTGAATATCTTCTTCTGAGAAGAGAACAGCTGGCTTTCTCTTGTAGGTGGTGGCACTCCTTGCTATCAAGGGCTGGTCCGATGTGAAAGAGATGCCGGCGGTGGGAGCTACTGCAATAAGTGGTTGAGGGTATTGCTGTAAAATTTTGGCGAATGATTTTTGAGTCGAGGGTCCTCGGTTGAAGGGCCATGGCGGCCATAGATGTGTGCTGCAACCCTAAGTATTCAAGCCATTGGGGAGCATGAATGAAACAATTAATGATTAATAACAAGACCTTATAGCCCTATTTTCACATTGAGGAGTTTTAGCCGTAGTGAAAATTAATTAACAGTTTTGGATTGGAGTATTATATTTGACTGCTTATCACCATAACTCCAATTGGAGATTAGTTTTTGTGCATGTGCTAAGTAAAATTCATTTGCATTTTCTAAAAAAATGTTAGACTACTGCTCTACTAACTTGGCATGGTGACCAAGTAAACTCACACTTTTTATCGAATGTCAAATTAGTTCTAATTATACTCAAAATGAAAAATGCTATTTTTTGATAAACTTCTCAAAGCTCTCACAAACTCTGCATGATAGATTCATTTTATATATTCTTCAGTTTGGAATATTCATCCTATGTAAATTAAAATAAGTTACTCCATCTAAGTGAGGTTAAGTTTAACGTACCATACGAACTTGGCTGGATGAATGGTGTCTACTCTTTAACAACCTTTCAACCACTAGATTAGTTACTCTTTGTTAGTGTTTTATTATGTTTTCTACTCCAAAACCATCCAAATTATCCGACAATTCTTTTACCTTGTCATTACATAGCGGGTGATATTGAATTTGCTCTAACCTTTCTAGCTTTCAGCTAGCATTACATATCCTTATAGGCAACAATTATTTTATAAAAGAAATTTTAATTATTGATATCTAGGATTTTTCTTCTTGCAATTATAGCTTAGACGTCAAGAATTTTCTTGAAAATTATATCACTAGCCTTGATTTTGATGGAATATTCCTACTCTTGATCTTTTCGCATGCTAACCATCCTTTTGCTAGTTTTCTTTTCAAGAATCCATTAGCAAATTCTATAAAAAAATCTAATATTCCAATCCCATCCTTTAAAGGTTTTCGGTTTGCCTAAATTTATCTTCACTAGTTGAAATACTTAGTTGATGATGATCATTTATTCCTAGAGAGACTTGAACTAGCGGTCACGAGAACAATTCTTAGTTGTTCAAGAGGAGTAAATTATAATTTATTTTTGTTATTTATGGCCTAATTTATAGATCATTAGTGTTCATTTGGACTTTCAATTTTTCAATGTAAAATGGTGACAATGTGTAACTTTGTTTTGTCAAAGATTTATTTTTACTATTGCTTAAAAATATGAAAATATGATGATAATTAGTCAAGGAGATAAAACTACAATATGAAAATTTCTTTCATACTATTGATGGTGATGTGAGCACGGGGTCTATCAAACTGAGTTAGATGCGAGCATGTCTAACATGCATGAAGTTTTCTGGTTTGCATGGTTCAAGTCAAAAAATTGTCCCAAAACATATTGAGGGACTTGAGAATGAAGATTGGAAGCGTGTTCATCTCATTCAAGTGGTGGAGGAGTCACATTTAATGCAAATTTTGTGTTGATGTTTAAGTCTTGAGTCATTATATTATTTTCCAGTATTTTAGTGTTAATTTAGTCATTAATTAGTGGTGAAATAATCGGCCAAGTTAAGCCTCAAGTTGGGCCAAAATAAGGTAGTCTTTTCATGTTAGATTTTGTGTTTTGTTAGTTTTTCCAAAGTCGAATTAGGAAGGTTGTATTATTTTCAAATTGGATTAGTCTGGATTAGTCTTAGTAGTTTAGGTTTTAGTTATAAATAGGCTTCTTCTATTCTATTGTAAGACAGCTTTTTAAGAGATGAATTAATAAAAGTGAGTTGTCTCCTTTTATGAAGTTCTTTGATGGGACGTGAGTTTCTTCTTGAACTGTATCAAGTATTTAGCTTGGATACTTGTGGTGTTCAAGGCAAGATGATCACATTATCTTGTTCTTTCAAGTCAATAACCAATCCACTAGGTTTCTAGAGACGGGTTCTCTTTAGATCTAACAAGGTAGTTATTGTTCCATAACTTGATTAAGATAGATCCTTCTGTTGCCTGATCAACTTGGTTCTTCAAGACAAGTTCTTGCTAGGTCGAGTTCGTATTAGATGGTATTAAAAGAATAAAGATGGTAAAAGTTAGTTTAAAATTTCACTTAAGTGAGATCATATATAATGTTTCTTTGCATTTGAAACTATTTGTAATGACACAACTAGCTTTCTACAAAAATAATAATCATGGCATATGGACTAGGTTTCCGTTGAATAGGTAGCTTCGGTCTTCATCAACAGTTTCATAGAATTCTTTCCAACTTTTATCCCATGATTAACAGACTCGTTTGGAACATTAGAGGGGTTTCTAAGCCTCTGAACCTAAGAAGATTGATCAAATTAATATGTTTGCATGACTTAAAGTTTGTCTCTATATGTGAACCAAAGCTGGATGTTTCTCAAATTGACTCATTTAGATTGCGGTTGCCGTTTGATTCAGTGGTAGTAAATTCATCGACTGATGTATGGGTATCTTATAGCTCGCCTTTTGTGTGTTCTATAATAGGAAATTCTACTCAGCATATCTCACTATAAATCCATCATCCTTTGATGGCCTGCCCTTTATTGTTTTCATTTGTACATGCCAATTGCTCACTGGAGGAACGAAGGGAGTTATGGTAGGCACTACTTGCTGATAAACCCAGTTCACTTCCTTGGTTTGTCTGTGGTGACTTTAATGCGATCATGGCTCCTCATGAAAAATGTGGGGGTCGGCCATTTAGTAGTTTAGAAGGCTTAGAGATAATGTCTTTTATGGAGGAAGCTGGAGTTTTTGATGCAGGATTCTTTGGATCCAGCTTCACGTGATGCAACGATCGGAGGGGAAGAACAAGAATATGGAAGCATTTGGACATGTTGCTAATTAATGGAGAATGCTCAATGATTACACCATCCTTTTCTGTGATCCATTTGGCAAGGTACCTGTTTGACCATGCACCATTGAAGATTTCATTTGTGACTCGTTTGGATAACAAGCTACGACCGTTCTATTTTTTAAATGTTTGGGCTTCTAAGCAGTCACTCTTGGATGTGATTCGAAGTGCATGGAAATTGGATGTCAGTGGTTCCCCATTGCGAATGTTGTGTTCCAAATTATTGAATACTAGACGGGCAATTCAAGAGTGGAATAAGCAATTCTTTGGGAATGTGTTTGATGCTGTTCGAAGGGCGGAGTAGGAGCAGTGATACGAGTGGAGAGTGATGATTCAGAGAAAGCTCAAGCAGAACTACGTCAAACACTTTTACTTGAAGAAAGATTTTGAAGAAAAAAGGCTCGAGTCAAATGGCTATGTCATGGTGATTGCAACTCCAAATTTTTTTCATACAACTATTCAGCAGCGGAGAGTGCAAGGGGCGATCCATCGGGTGAAGGATACGAATGGAGTTTGGGTGGAGGACGATGAGGGAATAGCAAATGAAGCAATATAGTATTTTTCAGATTTGTTCTAGAAATATGTTGGCGTATCTTTGGAGATGTTGCATCTAATCCCAACTATTGTTATGGGGGAAGATAATGCAATTTTAGAGGCCTGCCTGTCCATAGAGGATGTGAAATGAGTAGTGTTTGAAATGGAAGGGGATAGTGCAGCTGGTTCGGATGGATTTATGGGTAAGTTTTTTCCTTTGCATGGGATATTCTTGCCCAGGATGTATATAATGCAGTGTTAAGTTTTTTCTGTGGGACAAAGTTGTCTCGTTTTATTACTTCCACATCCATTGTCTTGATTCCAAAGGTTTCGAATCCCCAGGATTTTTCTAAGTTTCGACCAATTAGTCTATGTAATTTATTTAATAAAGTTTTGTCTAGAATTTTGGCCAACAGAGTAGCTGTTATTTTGCCAAAAATTGTGTCTCCACAGCAGACGAGTTTCGTCAAAGGTAGAAATATAACAAAAAATTATTTGCTCACCTAGGAACTTATGTCGGGGATCGGGAAAAAGTCTAGAAGGGGTAATGTGGCTTTAAAGTTAGACATGTTGAAAGCGTATGATCGGGTATCCTGGTTCTTTACTGATAAAGTTTTGCATAAATTTGGGTTTGAGGAGCATTTTATTTACATGGTGTGGAGATTGGTTTCTAATGTTTGCTTCTCGATCCTTATTAATGGAGCATCGTATGGCTTTTTTAAATTGATCAAAGGTATTCGTCAGGGTGATCCGCTCTCACTAGCCTTATTTGTCATTGGAGCTGAGGTTCTATCGAGAAGTCTGAATAGTCTTAATTCACACTTTGGCTTTGTGGGGTTCAGAGTACCAAGGGGGTGTCCTCCTATGACCCATCTGGCTTTTGCTGATAATGTGCTTATTTTCGCTAATGGTTCTTCTTTCTCCTTAAAGAACATTATGCAGGTGCTGAAGCTATATCAGAAATCATTTGGACGATTGGTGAACACCCAGAAGTGTGGATATTTAGTGCATCCATCAACGTCACCAACTCACCGAATGGTGATTGAACGTCTAACTGGTTTTTCAAGGCAGCATTTCCCGGTTTGTTATTTAGGTTTTCCTTTATATACTGGAAGATGTAAATCATCTTATTTTGGGGTGGTGTGTCAAGCTATTACTGGAAGAATTCTCTCCTGGAAGTCAAGGTTTCTATCTTCTAGGGGTAGGATGGTTTTGTGAGAACCCGGAAAATTAGGTGATATTTATTTATTTCTTTAAATGCATTTTCTTACTTTAAATTATTGCCTTAATTTTTTAGATATTTTTATAAGTGAGTCAAGCTTTAAATCATTTTCTTGGTATAAGTTAGTACACGTTAAGATTGAAGTGCATTATGGACATGGGACCCACTAGTGCGGTAAGTGCTATAAATTTTTGACGACTAGGTGGAATTTTGCATGAAGGGATATTGTTTATAAGGTGCTAATGGATAATTAGATGTTAGCTAGATATTTAGCCTTTGGAAGACAATAAGATAAGGGTTAATCTTGGCTAAACATTTGTCTTAAAATTATTGGACTTTTGACCTTGACCAAGGACTTTCTTACCTCTTTAATAAAATCAAATTTTGACCACAATTCCTTCTATTTTGCTCCTAGCTTGACCGAACCATTGAGAGGGAAAAAGGAAAGGAAACTTCATCTTCAACCACCAATTTCTTGCTTAAATCTTGAGTTCCAACCATAGATTTTGCAAACCACTCTATAAGAAGTGATATTTTGGTGATCCTCAAGCTTGTGGTGGAAGGAATTAGAAGGAAAATCTCTTGTTCTTGCACAATTCTTTTAGGATTTTGAAGTAACTTTGGTCAAGAAACCCTCTTTCTTTTATCTTGCTATTGGGAGGATTTAAGGCATGTTTATGCAACTCACTTGGAGTACTATCTATTTGTTGTGCTTGATTGTGAAAATTTCAGCTTTATAGTGTTAATTTACAAGACTTGACTTGAGAGTTATGGCTATGATTAACCTTGATATGTCGTGTTTAAGCTGTGGTATGAAGTTGATGATGATTATTGAGGCTTTAGTAGGTGATTTCTGTTGTTTTGCATGAAGTTGTGTAATGTGACCAAAGCTGGTACGAAACAGGGTAGCTAGAGCAGTGTTGGGAAATCTGTTGTATCTGGGTATAGGAAGGTCAAAATTGAGTTCTGTTTAATGCGTTTGAAACTAGATTCATAGGGCTATAAACCATGAAAATTTCAGACCCTGATTCTGTCTGTGTGATTTATGGTCATTTTGTAAAATTTGAAAAATTTCGAGACTGTTCTGCCTTAGTTTTGTAGTTGCTGTATTGTGTAGTTAAAATCTGACTGGTTTGTGGTCCGAATCTTGTAAAGTGACCTTCTAGATATATGTAGCTCTTCAAATATACTTTCTTGTGTCAAAATGTGGTGATTTTTGGACTTACAAAATCCCTGTTTTGATTTTTCCAAAGTTGATTGCTGGAGTTGAAAACTTTCTGTTCAGAGAGGTTTTAAGAGCCATTTGAGCAGCGAATTTGTCCATCGTTTAAGCCAAACCAGCTCTTTCTCAAAACATGAAAGTTGTAGAGTATTGAGCCGTCTTTCTACCTGCAAAATTTTAGATCAGTCAGATCATCGTAGCCTCTAAAATGACCAGAACACCTTGCCTGAAGTGAAAACCCTGATTTGCTGTAATAATTTTCCTTATACTTCTGAAATGTTCATTTTTTACCCCAAAGACGTCTGATTTTGAACCTGATGTCTTCATAAGAAATGTAGCCCTGTGTCTTAGCTTCAAAATGATATAGAAATGATATCAATCGGATTTGCATAGCCTCAGTTATGATCAGAATACCAACACATGACAAAGCTGTCACCTATACATTTTCTCTTTAGTATTTCCTTTCTTACTTTTCTTGATTCCATTCATTTTTCTTAGTTCAAATTAACATTTGTACTCCATATTACACTCAAACCCTTGTACTTGATGTTTCCTTGGATTTAAATGAGAAACCTTAATGTTCTTTATTATGCTTAACTCTTGACCCAGAACTTAATTTCTCATGGTTCCATTCTTATTTTTGAACTTTGAATTTGAAAAGGCTTGATTCAAGGCTATAACGACTCGCTTTATTCTTTAGTATACATTTGGGAATTATATACCAACCTCTTGTTTCTTTACTTCTTAAGTGCAAAAACCCTAAGGTTTTATTTTTCACTTTCATATAAACTTGTTGGTTCTTACCTCAGGACTCGAGGGTAATCAAGCGTGTTATCCAGGAACCGAGACATATCGCACGTAACAGTGAGTGTTCCTTGCATGTGTATGTGACTTGAATAGTTTTGCTACATGTTTACTTCATATTTATTGTGTGTTTAAGTGTTAAGTACTCCCTATAATTGCTCTTATGTAATTTTCCACCGTTTTAAAGCGAGTGTGTACTTTATCACACTCGACCTACTAAAATAATAAATTTCTATCGTTTAACCGTGAATTTCTACCATTTACTGGTTTATTTGATTATTTGCGCATGTTGTAAGCTCTTAGCTGAACTGGGCTCTGCCCTTGGTTGCTAACCTGCTCGAGCTAGGACTGGACTCGGTCAGGTAGGTTGGAACCCTGGGTCACCGTTTCGGTATACTCGAGTATTACCATTAGAGGAATAAGGTGATGGCCAGACAAACCGAGGGAATTATTGGAGTTATAAGGTGAAGCCGACCGAAATAGTTCCACGTGAACACCGTATCCTTTTAATGTGTGTTTATTTCTGTAAAATGATAAATGTCTCATTTTAATGTGCTAATAACCTTGAACCATATGTGCGTTATGCTTAATTTACTTGATTTATTAGAGCTGCTTGTGTGTTTTGGAACCTCACTGGGCTGTTTAGCTCATTCCACTCCTTTGTTTTCCTTAACAGGGCCCCCCTAGTATATTCTATCAACTGGGGTCTTAAACTCCTGTTTTTCAGTAGACACATGACAATACGCCCTATAAATAGGTGAGCTCCTAGCTCTTAGCTACAAGACTCCTAGCTCATAGCTACAAGAAAGGACCGCTACCCCCCTCGCTTCGCTCTCCCCCTCGGGGGGAATAGTAGAAGGTCGGCCCTTCAAGACCGAGAGTGCTCACGAATAGATCTAAGTTATTTTTTTTGGAGATTTTAAGTTGTATTATAGCAAATGATTGTAGTACATATTCTTTTGGGTTGTATTTAAGCTTAAAGGTTAACTAATTTTAGGTATGAAATGTTTTGGAGTACTTTAAATGTATATTGAAAATATTTGAAGTATTTCTAGCTTTTGAATTATGGATTGTAGTGAGTCTCGGCCAGAGTTGGGCAGACAGTTCGCTGACCCCTCAATTCTATGATGTAATTTCTCACTCACCGAGCTTATATGATTTCAAAATTTTGCATTGGAAAGTAGGCACAGTTGGAGAGATGACGCTTAATACTGATGGGTGTTCTAAGGGAAATCCTGGAGCGTGTGGTAGGTGTTGTGCTCAAGGATTCTAATGGACACTTGGTTGTAGCATTTTCCAGTCTACGCGCAGAAGCTCTGGTGGTGTTGCTAGGACTTAAACTATGCTTTGAAAAGGGGTTTGATCATGTTTTTGTGCAATCTAATTCTTTACTCTTGGTTAGTATTCTTCAACGGCTCTTTCACTATCCTTGGAATATTCGAAGAGAGGTGGAACAAATATGGCAAATGGTGTCGGATGCTTCTAGATTCTTGCATTGCTATAGATAGTTGCATAAGGTTGCAGATATATTGTCCAATGTGGGCGTTTCTCAACCCTAGGACCATGTTCGAGTCTATGATAGTTTGCACACATTACCTCTGTTAGCTTGAGGGGAAATCCGATTAAACAAATTAGGAATGCCTTCCATTACGACGATTAGGGTTGGCTAAGGCCATTGCTTGAAATAGGAGGGCATAGTCCCTTGGTTTGGCTTGTAATTTGGTGATCTATAAATAAATTCTGAAGTGACATCCGTCCCTGAGGTTAGCCAAAAAAAATAATCATGGCATACCAATGGTCTAACTGAAAAGAAAAAGTATTCTATGAATAAACTTTCATGAAAACAAGCAGGTCATCAATTCGGGGAAAGAAAAGGGACTGTCTTTAACAAAAAAAGCACTTACATACATACATACACATATACATAAATATATATAGACACATACACACACACATATGTGTATATATATATATATTTTGTCTCTATGTGTGTATGTCTACATGATAGGAGTGGTGAAGTTTCTTTGTTTGTTAAAAAACTATTTTTTTTCATGGTTAGTTTAGAAAATTTTGGATGTAAAATGCAATTACATTGTTCTATTTTTACCGATAATGCATGTGCAAGTTTTACATCAAAGATATGTTTAAATAGATACCATATCAACTTAGATAGAAATTGTATAGGGCCAAGACATGCATATCTCTCTAAAATCATTAATAGGAAGTTCTCAATATATTTATGAACCCCAACAAATGATGTTTTGCAAAACGTTAATTGTTTGACTCCCATATTTGTCTTATTCATAACCTATATTCGTGTACTTTGTCCAAAACTTGATATTTTTTTATTAGTAATTTTTGTGCTTCTTAGCCGTTTGAATACTAAAAAGATGGGAAAGACAATCTTGGTGCTTCTTTTAGTCGTTTTAGTACAGAAAAGATATGAAACAATTGAAGGTTGTGACAATGGGCATTAGTTTTATCACCCTATACAGAAATAACATTTTTTTTCTAACTTAGATCAAGGGACATAAAAAATATGTTAGATAAAAATATGTGGACTAACATTTTTTTGAGTTTCTAATTGACTAAACAAAACCACTTGTGCCATATATTCAATGTATTTTGTCCAATCTAAATTAATCTTGTTGTTAGTCTCTTGAACTCAACTTCATAACATGAGTAACTCGAGAAACTATTAGTAGAATAAAAATAATAAACTTTTGAATGGCTATAAAGAAAATGCATATAATTGATGTACGTATCTTTGTATTCTAGTGGCAATGATGATTTCAAATAAATTTTGTAGAGTGCAACATCATGCTTGTATTAAGTTTTAGGAATAGCTCGTTTACTACACGAGGTCGTGTTTATGTTATCTAACCAATTAGTTTTTCTACTATCTTTTGTACTCTCTCTTTTACTGATGAAATATTTTGGTTTTTTATTTTTGGGCAAATTACATTTTAG